ACTGTGTGCCAAACAAATCGTGGTACAATAATCCACATAAAAAAACGCGGGCGGGCGGTAACTGTCCAATGAAGTGCGAAAACTTCTCCTAGCGCCCTAAGGAAGCCCCAGGTACCCCGCTCCTACGTCCATCTTACGAGGTTTTTTGACCGGTAAACTGCCCCTCATCGTGTTTATTTACTGGAGTGACCTCTCCAGGGGCGGATTTGAATAGAAAAGGAAGACAGGAGATGCCAAAGCAGATGGCCTTGTGAGGCTGATATTCGTCTGGCCTCTACGCCTTGACCTTTCAGGCATGATTGGATCTGCGGCTGAGGAACCATCTTGTATAGTTCGCAGGGTCACTGAAGCGCGCAAACCATCACACCACGCCAAAGTGCAGTCTCGTCGAGATGGCTGACTCTCGGTGTTACGGGCGAAATTATTTTTGTTTTGCGTCTTCTGATTTTTTCATCGCTGTTTCTCTCCAGTACACAGAGTTCAGGTAACATGCTCAAGTACTACAGTTACCTGTCGGGATGGAATTTCGCTTTTTTTATCCCTCCCTTTCTTGGATCAAACGTCGAGGTATTTGTCCTATCGACGCTTTATGAATCGTAAGATCGTGAAACACGTTAGTCATTTTTATTTTACATTTATTTATGAACCTGACGTCCCTAAAGGCATAAACAACATTGACCATCTAAGCATAATTAACCAACCCATTATCATAGGGTTGTTCTCCTTCACTCTGTAGCATTCATTATATAGGACCTACATCTTTTCACCTTTACCTCCCTTTTGCAATGTCTGCCCGCCATATTGTATTCTATTTCAGTTCGCTGTCATGATAAAGTCCCATGTCAGCATTGTGTTTTGTGCAATGTGCTGCATGTTGAGATGCAGCCAAATCCTCCTGGACATAAATCGTGCAGTATTACGACATGGTCTTTTCTTTTGTAATCGACAAGAGTAAGGAATGTTCTGTGTATAAATGGCTACACCAATCGGTTCACCTTGAATTAATTTATAATCGCATCATGTTAGTTAACAGACCGATGTCAAGTAAGCAAATCAATGATTCTTCATGCATATGCTTGATGGTGCGTCAGATAAACCGACCGTTATGGTGGAGTAAGAACATGAAGGGATTCACCGAATAGGCCTGAATACTATATACTAGCAAAGTCTATTTGCTAGGTTATCATAAATTTACCCTAATATGAAAGATGGTCATCTAACCCGTCGAGAAATGTGTGATACTGTCGATGAGTCCCATCTTTATAGTGTTGATCAACATTTATCCCGCAAAATCAAAGTTTGTTTTATATATAATAGTCTGGCAAAGGAAAGGTACGATGCGAAATACATGAGTTTTGCTTGAGTTAATTGGAGGCATCACCAATCAGTTTTGTACCATTCAAAGTATTCGAGCGCTAAGCAATAATAATGGAAAATTGTTCGTTCTTTTGTAGAAATGAAATTTAGTCATCCAAGACCGGTCTAGTCAACACCACACAAACCAAATATTCTCCGAATAAAAAGGTAGTCCTGATTATGCTTAAAACAGTTCGAATATTACACTCCACCACCATGCTACACTAGTGACAGCAAAGAATATTATACAGCTACAGAAATAAATCAATAGCCTAATCAGGTAACATGCTGGACGTAGTTGACCACCGTTGCCTTTGGCCGTGAAATGCCTTTTGGTGATTACTTTAAGTCTTACTTCACTCCGGCTATCTTCTATGAGACGAGTCGGCTTCGTGAACCACTAGAATTGCAGCTGGCCTGACAAGGTAATCCGAAGCTAAATCTTGAGACGGGGTTAACCGATGTTTGTGAACTTTCACGGTAATTGGTAACCGGTGAGGACCAAAACATCGCTTGTATTGTTATTCGAGGGGATGTAATCATAGTCTGCACTCAGTTCAGTGTGAACTACAGCGCAACGTTGGCGTTTTGCAGTGATGTGCATCAATACAAATCATTGTTCTTGTCATTGGAACAAGAACACGATCTCGTCCGCAATCATACTTTTTAAGCAATTTTAATTGAACCATATCGCCAAAGCAAATGTTTAAAACGTATGTCAATGGCGTCTTGAAGAGCGGTAAACGGCAAGAAAGTGTCGTGGAATCAAAGAGAAAAAATATTTCACCTGCATGAAGACTTTGCCGATCAGCATATCGTCCGGATCCTTGAACATAGTACTAAAGATAACCGTGACCCGATCGTGCATGGCATTGACATACCTGGGAAGAAAGCAACAAGTGAAAAACCAAAGGGGAAAAAGCAATCAAACAGCATAGGTCATCATGACGTGGTCTATGCGTGCTTATGAAAGCAGAACACTGAACTGCGCCAATGACAAGATGCAAATGGTTCAATAGTAAAACGCAAATGTGAAATACTGTGGTCTGAAGGGTTTGCTGGATCTGTTTTTCTTTGGACGGGAAGGGGGAAATTCAGGTGGCAAATTCGTCTTGAAGTCGCCAGAAGGAGCACAAATCTTATGCTGCTGCTGCTGCTGTGGAATCTACTCC